GTCCCTGCTTCATTCCCGAGGCAGGGATGGTGGGGCGGCGTGGACAGATGGCCTCGGAGTCTGGGGCCGCCTGGGTGGCGACGTGCTGTGTGACCTTGGGCAGACGCTGACCGTCTCTGAGCTTCAGTCTTCCTGTGGGTCAGCCCCTGCGACTCTAACTGACAGTGCTATCGGCACCCGTGCTGGTTGGGGGCTCGGATGGATGGGTGGGGAGGGGAACCAAGTCCAGAACACGCTCTCGCCTCGCTGCTCGGAGGCGGGGGCTGAGGAAGCCGGGACCCCGGGCACCTCTGCCTGCCGTCTGCCTCCCCCCAGAGTCCGGGCTCAGGATCCGGGTCCCAGGGCCCTCAGGGCACGTTCAGAGCCGTGTGTGCTGTAACCGCATCCGGTGTCCTGTTCTGGGGCTTTGTCTTGGCAGAAGAGCCCAGGTCTGAACACAAAATCATCCGGGTCTGGTGGCGCGTGCCTGCAGTCCCAGCTACTTGGGAGGCCGAGGCAGAAGGATTGCCCAGGAGGTCGAGGCTGCAGTGAGCCGTGATCGCGCCACTGCACTCCAGCCTGGGCGATGGAGTGAGACCCGACTCAAAAAAATAGAGGAGGCGGCGAGTGCCCTGATGATCTCACGAGGCTTTGACCCAGGCTCACTGTGGCGGCCACGGCTGCCAACCCTGGCAGGCTTGGGGCTCTCCTGGGCCAGCGGCGGCCCCTGGGCCAGGGGCCGTGGGTCCTCGCTGGCCAGGAAAAGTGTCCCGGGGGAGGCCAGGCAGGGTGGCTTCAGAGCCCTGCTCACTCCTGCTGCCGTCCGGGGGCTGCGAGTCCCTCCCTGGGCAAGGGTGACCCCAGATTCCACCCGCTCAGTCGCACCCTGTTTTCCGCGTCGGGTCACCCCGGCCCTCGCCTTGTCCCTCCGCATCCGTAGCACAGGCTGGCCGCCCCAGGTGGGCCCCTTGTGCCGATGAGAAAGCAGAGGTCAAGTCACGGGCCAGAGGTCACGACCAAGGGCCCTGCCTGGGTCCCCTGCTGCTTCCTAGGCTTTGCTTTCCCCGTGGCCTTGGAGAGCTGAGTCGGGAGGTGGTCCCGGTGGGGGAGGAAGCCCTGCGGCACAGAGAGCTGGGTCTGGGGGCCCGAGGGTCTGCCTGGTGGTCGGTGCGCAGACAGTGCTGGGGGGCGGGGTGGGGGATGGCGGCTCCTGTCACCTTGCTCATTCCACCTGGTCCCAAGCAGCGGGGAAGCCTCGGGTCGGGCTGGCAGTGGGGGGGAGGGGGCGTTCACAGTCTTTTCTAGATGTAATTCACACGACGTGAAGTTCGCCCTGTAAAAGCACGCAGTTCAGTGGCTTTATGTTTGCAGAGTTGTGCAGCCACCCCTGTTCTTTAATCCTGGAACATTCCGGTCCCCCCACGGTCAGCTGTCAGCCCTGTCCCCTCCCCCGGCCCAGGAGGCCACTGTCTGCTCCTGCCCGCATGGGACCTTTCCTGCCCGGATGGCCCCAGGGGGCTGGCGGGATTCCCACCCGAGGCTTCGCTTCTGCTCTGTCCTGTGGCTATGTTGAGCGCCTGCTGTGTACCCACTGGGTGCTGCAGTCTGGCGTTGCCCACCACGCCCCTCGCCTCTGCCCGTGGGCACAGCTGAGCCCTGAACTGGCCAGATCCCACGTGGCGAGTGGCATGGGGTGCTCTGAACCCCAGGCTCGTGTTTAAGGCCCACGGCCCCCTGCCCCTGCCTGGCATTCGTGGCCTCCCCCCATGGAGCGAGGCCTCTCCTGCGGCCGCCAGACTCCTCCAGCCAGGCCCCCTGGGCCCTGGACCCCGGGGGGTTAGCCCAAGCCAGGAGCCCTCAGCCACAGCCAGCGCCCGCAGCTGAAGGCCAGGCAGAGAGAGCCAGGACAGAGGAAGAATGGCGCCCGGGGCTGCCCCGGAGGGGGTGGGTGAGGCTGGTGGCGAAGTGGAGGCCGCACTGCCCACCCGGGTCCCCTGGGACCCGGCGCAGCTTTTCCCCCCCCTACCCATGGCCTGGCCTCACCCACTTTGGTCATCCCCGGCCCCAGCCCGCTTCCAGAATCTCACTTTCAGTCACCTGACCTTGTCGCCTGCACGGCTCTGACATCTGCTTGCGTCTCGTGGGTGCCACGTCCAAGTCCAGTCCTGCCAGTGCCGTCCGCCTGCTGTCACGGGCGCTGCCCTGAGAGGGTGGGGAAGAGGAGCCAGCCCTCGTGCCGCCCGACAGTCCCAGGGGGCTCATTTCCCAGACGCCCTGAGATGCATTCCCTTCCGGAAGCTGGGTCGCCTGCCCGTGCTGGGGAGGGGGGGGCCGTTTGTGCCAGGATGCGACCCGACCCTCTCACCCGCTCTGCGGGCCGAGGTGGGGTCTAGGGACTCATTCCCTCTCAACCCTTCCCTTCGTGCTGTATGACCCGGGCTGGCCTGTGCTCCTCTCTGAGCTTCTGCTTCTCAGAGCTAGGAGCAGTCTCCACCTCGTGCAGTGTGGCGATTCCCTGGCACATGCGGGCGCCAGGCACAGAGGTGGGGCGGGCAGGGAGGCTGCTGGCATGGTCCCCACCCCTGCCATTATCCCTCC